GTGTGTGTGTGTGTGTGTGTGTGTGTGTGTGTGTGTGTGTGTGTGTGAGAGAGGAAAAGAGAGACAAACTGCTAGATCTCACTACAAATTCAGTTAAAAGTAGAAAGGTTTTTTTTTCCGTCTGTCACTGTTGCCTCAAACGATATTTATTGATAAACATATACTGCGTACCGTTTCTCTCTCTCCTCCTCAGGTACTACGCCGCCGTCCTGACACTCATCTCCTTCTCCCTTGCTCTCCAGATAGTGGCTGGAGTCCTGATCATCATCATCGGTGAGCCAATCACATTACAGCGTTAGTCGGTTTAAAAGAAATGAGAAATCCATCCTCCATGTTCTTAACCACTCATATTAACACACTAATACACAGACTACTAATTTGTTGCGAAGGTACACGCGGGTGCAGGTTGAGGTCCAGTCACTTTGTTGTCTTGTGTTTTGCACAAAAGGGTTTATAGCATCCATGATACATTCTTTATGCAACATGAGTTATGAATATAAAAAGCTGATGAAAGCAAATTTGTATGCATAGGAACAGTTATCTGAGCACTTTGCGTAGTTTGTTATTTTTGTTTTGTTGTTATTTTTGGTGTGTGTGTACGTTATTGCAGCTCGGCGAGACATAACCGAAGAGACCAATCAGAAGCGCCTGGACAGCCTGAACAACGCCACAACCGTCATCATCTTCCTCATCTTCGTCAGCAACATCTGCATCTCGGTCTTTGGGATGGAGCGCACCGGCCTCTTTGCCAGGATGCATTTCTGACTTTTCTGATGTAGGCAATGATTCTAATATGTAGCCTTATTGGGAGAGTAGGGAAAGAGTCTGACACATTCAACATTCAACATAGGACCAGACCATGTACACACACACACACACACACACACACACACACACACACACGGAAACAGGAACTTATCTGTGACTTATCGTTCTACTTAAAGTACTAATCAACTGCAGTATTTCTGTACTCTGATTTTATACAGGATGAATGGATTGGGCCATGGGACCAACTAGATGTGTGTGTATCGGTGTGTATGCGTGTATGTGTGTGTGTGTGTGTGTGTGTGTTTCTGTCTGTGTGTAATGTATGTATACATGTGTGTGTGTGCAGTTCGTTGTGAGCTGACCCTCCTCCCCTCTTATCAGCGGTTGCTAAACTTCCTGAACAATCTGACCACCGGCATAATCTTCCTCACTCTCATCGTCAACATCATCAAAGCCGCCTTTGGCACACAACGTAGCTGCCTCCTGGGTTGGCTGCTTCAGCGTTTCATTCTATAGGCTGATGACAGATAACGCGCTCACGCACCGTACGTACATCCACACGCAAAAACTGAACATTAACGTACATGTTTGAAGCTGCCTTGTGTGGAATTTGCCAAAGTACGACGACTCTCTGAAATCAAACACATAAGGAGGCTAAATTCAGCCTGTCTCTGTCCAAAGGTAACAAAATCCGCCTAAAAAACGGAAATAAATCGAAATAAAGTGTGTTTGACAGGCTTCTACAGGCTCAACATTTTCTGACAAAGAAAGAAGGGAGCTGTAGAACCAGACAAGCTTCAAAATGTCAATTTAGAAACATTTAAGTTACAAAACAGACACTATGTTGATATGTTATCAGAGTCAACCAGTGTATCCCAAGTCTGCTACTGAGGAACTTACTCTTTCTTTGCTCCAGAGCATCATTACCGTAATGTGTCTTTGTTGAGCGAGGGTCGAAATGTCACCTAATCTAGACAGAGGCTGGAGGGCGTGCCACTGAATTTTATTGATGGGTACGTTACTGTACGTATGGGGCAACTGTGAGTTTATGTGTGAGTAAGCATGCATCAAATGTGTGGCTGTGTGTGGATGTGTTTGAAGTGTTTGAAATTGTGTGTTTGTGTGTCTGTCTGCTTGTGTGTGTGTGTGTGTGTGTGTGTGTGTGTGTGTGTGTGTGTGTGTTTGTGTTGTAGCCCGCAGGGACCTGAACGTGGTATCCAATCAGAAACGGCTCGACTACCTGAACAACCTTGCCACAGGGGTCATCTTCGCCACCACGGTGATTAACTTCTTCGTCAGCTTCTTCGGATCCAAGAGGACTGGCTTCTTCCGCTGGCTGCTGGCTCGACTCCACTTCTGACACACACACACATGCACTCAGTGTATTTCATCTGTGCACACACTCAAACATGCTGATTCACAGTTGAAATTGTCAATTCACATACAATTTGCATATGTTCAAACATCTCATCTTATTTATTATTCAGGCTCTTGAAATGTGCGTCACACTGTAATCCAACTAAAATATTTTCACTTTAACCAACTGAATATCTATGTATATATGTATTATCTTATTTGCTGCAATAACATGCTTGTGCAAAAATTGTGCATGTGTTACATTATGTTTATTTCAAATGGTTTTACACTTTACTTGTGATTCCTCTTTGTTTTGGTTATTGGAAAAAATGTTTTGTATCATTTATTTAAATGATTTTTAGGTTCAATAGCAGACAAAAAGCAGGGTATTATAAATAAGACATACCCCTCTAATATGTACGTACACATTGTGCTCCAGAAAGCTGAATAAATGTAGCGATTTAACAGAAGCCTATGCTATGCTTATTGTGTTGTTGTTTTTTTGCTGAAGATTGGTTGATTGGGTGTCTGTTACAGGTCAGCTGGAGTGAAAATAGTGAATGCAAAGCAACAGGTGCACATTATAATAATGTCCCAAGCGATAGTGTGTGCACAGGTGTGTCTGTGCATGTGAAGATGTCAGCATTTGAAGGATGGAAGTACAGTATCATTTTAGTTTGTGCATTTATATTCCTTGAATCGAAATGTAGTGCATCCAGGCCCAAAGAAGGCCCTCTCAGTGTGTCTGAACCAAGGCTTGAACTCTCTCTTTCTCTACTGTGTATGCCGTGTGTGTGTGTGTGTGTGTGTGTGTGTGTGGGTGTGTGTGTGTGCACGTGTGCACAGGCCGTCGGGACCTGAATACCTCCACCCTGCAGAAACGTCTGGATTACCTGAACAACGTAACAACCATCATAGTCTTCATCACCACAGTCCTCAACTTCTTCATCAGTACCTTCGGCATGCAGCGCACCGGACACTTCCCATGGCTCATGATGCGCATTCACTGACATACACACACAATTCTGCTGATTATTACAGTTATAGACACACTCACCATACAGCTCATAACACGCATACATAGATTATTATTCTTTATTCCTGCCCTTAACTTTTGATGTCGATCTTAGCTACTGGATACACTCATCAGTTTTAAGCAGCACTGTTGTACACTGTTAACACTTGCTTATTTTGTGATTGCATAACTTAAATAAAAATAATAATAAGAACATTATGTAAAATGCACTTTTCTTTCAGTTTATTCCATAAAGGGAAACACATTTGCTGTTCAAAGCTATGTACATATAGAGTCAAATGTAATATTAGCGGGATGGCCCTTCTACTATACTGTACTTCCTTGTTCACACTTTCATTAGGGAAAGGTGGCATCTAGTGTATCCCTCATCTAACATCAGCCTCATCTAACGAGTGCTCACTTCAGCAGACGAAATCAACAAATAAAACACAAAAACAAGAGCTTGAATTATTATTAGGATTCTGAATTTCTGGTACTTTATTAAGTAATGGAGAAAGTTTCTGTTTGCTTGCCCCATCACAGTAAGGTCAGAGGTCAAGCTCTACACCAACCTGCTCGTCTACTTTATTGTTTTAGATCAGTGTTAATGGTGCGCTGATGACTCCATGATGGCTAAGTAGGCAGAGGTATCTATCAGATCATACAATAAATCCCTGTATTTCCGGGTAGTGGAGTGTATGCGCTGTTTCATAGTGTGGTTGTTACTTCCTGATTGGGTGGTGAAAGAAGATCTGCATCAGAGCATCGATAGTGTCACCAATAGCAAAGCCCATTAGTCGACTTATCATGTACTCATAGAACTGGAGATACCGGTTCTTAAGGACCATTTCTTAAGAAATGAAAGAGCATACCTACAGTGAACCTCACACAAACACATCAGTCAGTTTCCAGAGACAACACAACTACTCAACAGGTAAAGTGCTCTGATACTTTGATCTTAAATATAACTTAAATCAACTTGTGCCTGTTTCCAGATGAAAGATATTACAAAGATGATATGGTTGTTATACGTTAAAAATGCTGAGCCTGAATAGGTTAACTCTTCTCTTGGTGTTATTGTTGATCAGAATGCTCTTTGAGGACACAACACTGAGAATAAAGCCAATAACTACCACAATACGCAGCCTATTTAAAAAACTCACTTTCAAACTACACTTTGTAGCTGCAACACGATCCTGCTCACGCAGAGCTATTAACAGAAAATCTCCAATGTAATAGGAATTATGTTCAATCTGAGACATTACATTACATTATTACATTACAGTCATTTAGCAGACGCTTTTATCCAAAGCGACTTACAATAGGTGTATTCAACATCGGTTTTCGAGAGAACAACTAGTCACCAGAAGTAATAAGTGCATGTCCTTTCCTCAAACAAGCATCTAAGAGCATAAACCAGAGCCAACGTACAGTGCAGAAACAAACGAATGCAATAAGTGCCACAGACTAATATAAAAACAATAAGTGCAATAAGCTAGTATGAATACAATACAATAGATGCTAAGTAAGTGCTAAGCGGAAGGGTAGGCCTTCTTGAAGAGGTGAGTTTTCAGCCTGCGCCGAAAGATGGGCAGCGACTCTGCCGTCCTGACGTCAGTGGGGAGTTCATTCCACCACTGTGGGGCCAGGACAGAAAGCTGAGACAGCTGACATCAACTGTGTGCACGGAGTCACAGTGTTATATTTATATAAAAAAAGAACGTCCAAGAAGAAGGACATGCTGAGGTTCGATTCTGAGTTAAGGGTGACTTGACTCTTTGTAATATAACGTGAAGGCAAAGAAAACGCAGTTCAAAGAAATGACTGACAACACATAAAAACAGTAACTTCAGATTTTCACTGTAAGAAACTAATATCCAACCATCATTTACATTCTACAGAAAGTAAACCTTCGTAAACTAATCTGCTGCTATAGGTGCTTTGACATTGACTGAAAGAATGAGGAAATAAAACAGCCTCTCCAGCTCTGTATGAGGGAGGAGAGAGAGAAACTCAGGGTGTGTTAAAGAAAACCTGCCAGCGAGCAGGTTAGGTTCACAGAGTCACTTACCACGGTAACAGACCCAGAGTTTAAGTTTCCCTCATCTCAGGGTCAAGTAAGATTTCATTAAACCTGCTTTATGGAATAGGGCCCTGGTGGCCTGGAGGTAAGGGCCTAGACCTTTGTTGCATGTCATCCTCTATCTCTCTCTCTTTACCCTCATTTCTTGTCATGACAGACCTTTGCACAGTGTGTTGCCTCATGCTCCGACCTACATGTTGAGTCGGATGCTGAACAGCAAAAACCAGTAGAACTTGACCTCCTAGGGAGGGAAATGGTAGTCAGAAATGTAAGTTACCTCCTTGATTTACACATTTTTAGGGTTTGAAATTGAAAATCAATCATGAAATCCTTTCCTCTCATGTAGCCATGGCCTCAGCCAGCAGCCTCTCATGTGACGAGCAGCTCCTGTGCTATATATATATATATATATATATATATATATATATATGTTTTTGTTTTTCCAGCCATATTGCAAAAAAAAAGTTGTAGATTTGAACTCAAAAGTGCAGGTAAGATCACATACCTGACAAATTGAAATGAGGTTCATTTCAAAGATCAGATCAGTCGTGTACTATATTTACATATATGTTGTAATACCTACATCTGACCAGGAGAAGGCAGCATTCTTTATTTAGCGTTCTGGTCTGTTTCTCAGACAATAATACTTTTAAAAATTATTTTGATACATAGAAGTTTAATATTTATCGATTAGTTAATCTATTGAAAATTAAAAAAATAATAATTTTGATAATAGATTAATCATTTCAGTCACTTTTTCATTCAAAAAAATCCCTTTTTTCTGGCTTCTCAAATATGAACATTTGCCTGCTTTCTCAGGCTTATATGATTGTAAACAAAATATATTTTGTTTTGGAACTGTTGCTTGGACAAAAAGTTATGTATCACTATATTCAGTCAATTTGACTGGGTTTAGTCTGTGTGGTTGAACCAAATTTAACATTGCTATGACTAAACACCTGCTATATAAGTATAACTATCTTGTTTATTAGTGACTTCTTTGAATGTTCGTATACAACTGTGAGCAGGATATATATCATTTTATGCTTTGATTACTTTATGTGGAACCCATTGACTGTAGGGTCCACATTATACCTTTTTTTTATGCAGGCTTTTTAAGACCAAGTCATCTGGCATGCTTAGCCAAACATATCTGATGAATGAGCTTTAAAACCAGATGTTTTGTATGTATATACTATGCATCTGATATGTATTGTACAGCATAATAAAAGTTTATTTCTTAAAAATTTGCTTTTTAGATCTTTGTTTTTTTTCTGTTTCCTGAAATTACAATGATTGAGTTCTGTTGGAGTGTCAGGTGCCTTGCTCATGAGCAGTGTATTTTGTTTTGATTAGTCTTTCTGTACAAAAAGCCACCAGTAAAAGGTTTTGCTGATTAGCAGAGACGTTTCAGAACTTTACATTACATTAATTAATACAAATCAAATGTACTGAGTTTGAGCTTAACAATTACTCAATGCTATGACATTACTACAATTGCTGTTTTGTTGAAACATATAAATCCTGCAGCATCTACTGGCACAAAATGTAGAGCATCCAGGCCGAACTGGAAGTCAGTCTCAGTGTCAGAACCAAGTGCAGTTTGAAGCCTCTCTTTCTGCTGTGGATCTGCGTGTGTTGGTGTGTGTGTGGGTTTGTGTCATTGAACGTCGGGACCCGATTAACTCCACCCTGAAGAGACGTCTAGATTACCTGAACAATGTAAAGACAATCACAGTCTTCATCACCACAGTCCTCAACTTCTTCATCAGTACCTTCAGCATGCAGTGCACTGGACACTTCCCATGGCTCATGATGCGCAGTCACTGACAGACACTTCTGCTGATTATTACAGTTATAGACACACTCACCATACAGCTCATAACACGCATACATACATATATAAGGTAGAGTTTTGCCTTTACTCTTGAATTTAACATTTGATGTCCATCTTGAATGCACTCATTGCATTTTAAGAGAACTATTGTGTATGTCTTACATGTTAACAGTGTCTTATTTTATGATTACATAACTGCATAGCTTACAAATAATTACAAAATAAATAGCGTAAAATGTACTTTTGTAAAGGATAACACATTTGCTTTTGAAAGCTATGGACACTACATACTGTACACGGCAAAATGCAATGTGAAAGGGCTTGCCCTTCTATTGTACAACCTCCTTTTACACACTTCCATTAGATAACGGTGGCATCTAGTGTCTGAGAGAAGTCAGGATCATAAAAGCATCCCTCATCTAATATGCGCTTCCTGTAACAACTGCTCAAATCAACAAGTAAAACGCAAGTTAAAAAAAGAGTATGAAATATTATGATTGTGAATATTTGTTACTTTACTTAGTCAGATTGAGAAAGTTTCTCTTTGCTTGCCCCATCCCAGTAAGGTCAGAGGTCGTCCTGCTCGTCTACTTAATGACTCCATGTTGGCTAACTTTATAGAAAATAAAGGAAGAGAAGGGAGACGTATCTATCAGGTAATACAATACTGTAAATTATTTCAATACATGCTCTTGATCTGCACTTTGTCTCCGTCCTCCGATATTAGTTTTGATCATTTCCCATATTGAGGGAATCACAGGCAGACCCCATGAAGGACAAAGACAAGACCTGATGGATCTGTGGAGGTTGATCGGTGCTGATAAAGCAGCCTTTTCCTATATCGTTCGCTATTGGGCCATTTGTTGTTTCAGACTTTCTGAAAAGGTCTGAGGGGAATCACAACGCAGCAAAGGGCTGTAACTTTTTCCAGGAAGAGGAGGGGAAGAGAAAGGGAGGGATCATGTGTCCTTCCTGAGAAATGAAACTACACGCCTCAAAGGAAACTTTCTCTGAGGACCTATTCGACCCCCTGTCCCACTCCAACCCTCCATTTATGTCAGACCTCCATGACCTCAGTGAGCAGAGTTATGTAACGATGGTGAAAAAAGCAGTGGCTCGGATGGAGAAGACCGTCAGTAATGAGATGGAGATGCTAATACATGAGGTCAGGTTTGATTGTTGTGAGGCCACTGAACAGCCTGATGCAGCTGAAAAACAGATGACAGATGGGTTTGTTAAAGAAGTGTGGACTCCGTCTCAGTACAAGCGGTGGATGTGACTCTAGACGCCAACACAGCCCATCACAGACTTGTGGTGTCTGAGGATGGGAAACAGCTGAGATTTGGTGAAGGCCCACTCTCTTTGCCTGCTTCATTTGGGAGAAGATTTGAACGTCGACCCTTTGTTGTTGGGAAAGAGGGCTTTTCCTCAGATAGCTTCTACGATGAAGTGCAGGTCAGTGGGAGTAAAGGTTGGGTCGTGGGAGTCGTCAAAGAGTCCACAAACAGGGATATGTTTTACTTTCCCACCTTGGAGGACGGAGGCTGGACACTTTGTGGAATCTACAACCAAGAAGAGGAATATTTAGCTAATAGTTTTAGCAAGGCTACCCTGCACGTGAGGCATGCAAGGCCCTTGACGGTTGGCGTGTTTGTTGATTACGAGAAGGGAGAGGTTTCCTTCTATGATGTGGACGCCAGGATTCTGATCTACTGCTACTCCGGATGTGCCTTCACTGAGGCCAAACCAGCACTAAAAGCTCTTCTGTATTTCATGGCTGGCACATCCTTAAACAGCAGACCAAAGCTCTACCCTTTTTTTTGGTATCTTTGAAGGTGATTATGACAGCATGCTTGTAATCCCTCCTGTAGCACACCCAACTTACACGTACCACATAGGCCTACATCAGTGGTAATGAATGTGTAACTTGTACCGAAAAGTTTTCTCATTTCAAATAAGAAGTAATAGTAGTAGAATCACACATTACAACATTACTACTCAGTATATTGAATATATATAAATACAATACTTGCATCTGACCAGGAGATGGCAGCATTCTTTAACCAGTATACAGAGAAGCTCCTCTAGGAAACAAGGAGGGGACAATGACATCATAACAACCCAATGGCATCTTGGATTTCAAAGTGCTTTTGATATATAGGGTTAATTAAGCTTTATTGATTAGACAATCTACAGAAAAATAATTTTATCTTTGAACTGTTGCTTGGACAAAAAAAGCTTTTTAAATATTTTACTTTGTGCTATTTTGTGATGAACATTTTTCAAGGTGCTCTGTCATTTTACTGACCAAACGATTAATCAGAAAACAAAGCTCAAGGTTAGGCTCACACAGCCTGTGGGGATTAATGAACCCCTACTTTTTCTCACCTTATGCTGTCAATTACGGTTTTCAACGGTCATTTCTTACAACTGTAAACATATAATATGTTTCTTTATTTATGTTGTGATCACATTATGTGAAACCCACTGACTTCAGGGTCAGCGTTCCACTTTCAAATGCAAGCTTTTACTGAAAGCCAAGACATATGTGATGAATGAGTTTTTAAAACCAGGGTTTTGTTATGAACGCATCTGATGTGTATACTACAGCTTAATAAACGTCCCTTGAGTTCTGTCGGGGTGTCAAAATCTTTTTTCTTTTCTTTTTGTGTTTCTTTCCAATGATAAAACACATATAAGCCACCAAGTAATCACTGATCAGGTTAACAGAGACGTTTCAGAAGGCAGCGCTGGTCCACCACTACTGGAGTTCTTCTCTCAAGGGGAACTTTAGCCAGCAGACTATTTATACCTCAGCTCAGCTGTCTGACTGACTGGCGCCCTGGGAACTGGGACACTGTGTGTGAGTGTGTGTGTGTGTGTGTGTGTGTGTGTATGTGTGTGTGTGTGTGTGTGTGTGTGTGTGTGGGTGTGTCTTTGGTTTGTGTCTAGTTGGAAAGATTTCTATAGGATGATGTGTAGTTGTGTGTGAGAGAGACCTGGGAGCCCTGGGGGACCAGCTATATGAAATATGCTACATGTTCTGAGACAGATATACTGTATGTAGGTCATTCAATCATCAAACACTGAGTCAGACGTTTGAACATGAATAAATGGAATCAATAAGTAAGAATAATCTAATAATCAAATATAGTATAACAGTCATAAAGGCATAATTTGCCATTGAGTAATTTTACTTTTAGAACTCAAGGTAGCCTACATTTTGTAAATAATACATACTATTACTTTACAGTGTCTTACTACTTTTATTAATAAGTATATGAAATGAATACTTCCCCTACTTTAGCAAGCTAATTACTCATTTACCTGAACTGTTAAATACCGTCATCAGTTATCCACATAAGATGCTAACATATTGTTTTTACAGGGTATGAAAATAAGGGCTTTTAATATGAGATAAAATATCATATAAATACGAAAAATTGGATTTAAAAAGTAAAAAGTACATCTCGTTCAATTGTCACTTTATGGATAATTACGGATTAGTATGCACGCGACTCAGCTGGTCCGGGAGAGACCATAGGGAGAGACGAGACGGAGGAGGGAGGAGGAGGAGGAGGAGGAGGAGGAGGGTATACGTCTCGGGGGCGCGCGCTCCACCGTCGTGACGTCACGGAAGCGCCCGAGCAGTGGGGAAGCCGCCAGTGGCAGAGCTGGCAAAAAAGACGGGAAGGAGGGAAAGACTCGGAGACAGGAGACAGGAAGACAGACACGAAGACAGGGAAGACAAGCCCCGAAAAAAGACACAGCGCTGCACCCTCGCTTCACCGACCGTCTGTTACGTTACGAAGCGTCACTTCGAGGTTTGACAGCAGCAGAATAACTGAAGAGGAGATATGTGACTGGCCTTTTTTACACAGAGCTTATTTCACAACCGAGGGGCAGTAACGTAAACACAGCCGCAGTGAGTACTGGAAGTTAGCTGGCAGTCTGAGTGTGTGCGTGTGCACATGCATGTATTATTACACAGGTTTACGTGTGTGTGTGTGTGTGTGTGTGTGTGTTGTAAGCATGTTGGCCACTTCTCGGGTCAACCTCACAGACCCGTGTGTGCTGTCTGTGCGGCTCGTCGCAGTCACGTTTGTAGGAAGGACCGCTCGCGACCGTGATTAAAATTTGATGCCTGCTTTGAGGTGCAGCAGTTTCCAGGTCAGCTGTGAGAGCCACCGTGGGGGCTCTGTTATATTCCCGCCGGAGGGGAGCAGTGTTTCGGCCAGACATTCAGTCATTATGATACATTTTGTATGTTTTTTTGCGAGCCCATTCAACAAGGCTTCCTCCTGTTTCGCTCAATAATCCAATTGTACAACAAGGGGCTTCCACCCGGAATAACAAGCTAATAACACCATGTCTCGTCTCCGTGCCTCTCAACGCCATCATCAGTCTGCACGCTGTGTTTCAGGCTGCAGAAGTGCCGCTGACAGCCTTGCAGTTTATCCTCAAAAGCCACACAATTGCTATCATAATCCTATAATATTATTTTTTTACAGCGCCAGTTTAGCGACATTGCATCCCTTTATAATGGGTCCATCTCCTTGTGATGGCGCTAATATCCCCTCAGGGACCTGAAGTGTGCCTGTGTGTCTATATTAAGTTGCATCTCTTCGCTACAATGTTTCCACAGGGACTTGTAGTTGTGTTGTGATATTTCTAACAGTCTCCACTCAAGTTCTCCCGGCCGGTTGTTTCGTTCTGAACTCGTTTCAAGGAACAAAATATGTGCACTTCTCTAAAATCGTGTGTCTTTTTTTAATGCTGCCACAGTTGCACAGGACTGTTTGCAGCCACGTCCTGGCAGACCACCAGACCAGACCGCACGCGAAGCTCACGAGACTGACACCGGATAAGGACGCTATCTTTGCAAACCGAATCAATCTGAGCAAAAACATGGACCCGGTGTGATCGCGTCGATGAAGGAGGTGAAATCTGCTGCGTGTGTTTTGCAACAGTCCGAGAGGCAAAAACAAAAAGGGGGGGGGGGGGGGGTGGATCGAGGAAGGGACGCCGTGATTTCCTCCGTGTTCCGCCCACGGCTCTGGTTCTTTGCGCCGCCCCTTCTCCGGGAACACCGAGTCAGGGAACTGAGCCGCTTCCTTCCACTCGGATTGTTGTAAACACTGGACATTTTTAAATGTCTCCACACCGCAGTCTGCCTGTGGGTAAACCCTCCTCTATTACCACTGGGTTTTTAACAATTCTTTTGTTTTAGAGTTTGCTTTCATAATCATTTTCTGACCTGGCCCTATAGTTCAGAACTTTTGATACTTTGTGTGTACAGCCTGATAGACCCCATGTGTCTCCAGGCTCCACATCAAAGGTAAATCTTTTTTTACAACATGAGGAACTTAACCCGACACAGACAGTAGCCTGTAGCTCTTTCAATCCTCTTCCCAGAACTCACTTTTAATTTAAAAACCATAATCTCTAATTGCCTTGTTTGATATTTATTTATTTATAGACAGACAGACTCTTTACGGGGTGTTTGGGTCACCTTCGCAACTCTCTTCATCCTTATATAACCTGGCAAGACTGTAACAGCACATTCCTAGTACAGGATGAGCCTGGGGAATTTTTCACTCCTCTCTTCCATTAACTACGACACACACACACACACACACTCCTGAATTACTTTTGTGCTTCCCCACCTTTCTGTTAATTGTTGAGTCTCAACGGTACGTTTTCCATATTTGCTCTGTAGGCAGCAGCCACGATTAGATAAGTGTGTGTGCTGTGTTTGAGCACATGGATGTGTGTGTGCTTCTGTGCTCCTCTGTGAGTCACGGGGTGTATGACTGTATACGTTTTGTTTACCCAGCCTGCATCTCGGGTTAATTTCCTGTGGCGCGCACAATAGACTGGAGCCGATGCTATCCGTGCCTTATCAGCACTGTGCTTTCCAGTGTCTGAACCACATCACAGGTCTCATCGCCGATAGGACCTGGTGGCACGGAGTGAAGGTACAAGTAGCACAGTCACGCTGGTGAGCCAAAAGTCTGTATCTCGCACAGACATCTTCCGCCTAATGTGTTCTCCCCAAGTGTAATCGGTCGCTCGGTTAATTGAAAAATCTCCCTTATTCCAATATCACGTGTGCAGGATTAGTTGATTTTTTTCTCTCTTGAGGGAAAGGTGTTGCACACGGTCTGACGTCGGCAAAACTGACCCACAAATCAAGTTCTACAAGTGCCAATTATGTTTATTATTTTACACACCTGTAGAAATCACTTGGATAAATATGTTTGAATCAGCACTAAACCGTCATAATGATTAGTCATCAATATCATGTGTCTGCACGCGGAAATAAGCCAAAACACTAATGACACGTTGCTCAAAACCAAACAGCAACGATGAGTCATTAAGGTATTTGGTTCTCCTCATGATTTCTGTCATATAATTTGTATTCTAGCAGATTTCTTTCCTGGTTTTGTCAGCCAATTCTTATTTTCTTATGACTATTTGTATATTTATGTAATATAGGAAATACATTATGTTGTTTTTTAATTAACATGGAAATTGTCACTTGAGATGTTCACACAGCTTCTTTGAATATTCAAATTACATAATGGTTTTGCAGAAACAACACATACATTTTAATCACATACAACACACAATTTCCTATTTCCGGAGCGTTGCTGTTACTGTCGTCACGACAAAGCAGCTGTGAAGGTTAAAAAAAGCCGACCGGTGAAGCCCTTACATCATCCCCTTACATCTTCAGACAGATTATGTGCAGAGTGAGTTCAGCTCTCCCCTTCAGCTGCGCTGTCGAGATGCGTGTTACCCCCGGACAGCACCAGTGAGTCCTCTCCAGCCACATCATATCACCACGAGCCTGACGGGAACCGAGAGGAACGGAGAATAACAACATTAAGGAATTGAGCGGAATGCGTTTTTCTGAGGCGAGACACGAACTTTGTAGAATTCGACTCCCACGCTGAAACACCGGCCGGCTAAGTATAGGTATGCACGTGTGTGTGTGTGTGTGTGTGTTGCATTGTGCAGTGTGACAGATTGGATGTGTGGTTGTCACACAAATAGAGCACGCCGAACACCTTCAGGAATGCTGATGGAGAAAGAGAGAGGTAGTGAGAGGAAGTGAAAGCATGAGGGAGAGGTAAGGGGGCGGGATAAAGAAATGTATGTGCTAATAGGCATCTATGTTTGCTAACAAGTCCGGCTTATTAACTTAAAATATGTCAATGTCAAGTTTTGAGTTGCCATGTCCGGAAAAAGGCTATAAATCTGAAGTCTGTCCTCTGCTGTGCCGGCACACACTGATTATCTACACAAGTACAAGGGCAGTACGTGGCATTCAACCACGGAGACTTTCTCGGTATCCTCGCGTGATATTCTGGGATTTTTTTTGTTCGTGAGGCCTAAAACAGCAGTGTGTATGTGAGGAGTGTGCGGAGGGAAGACGAGGCGTGCAGAATGGCTGTTGGTAACAGTACAGGGAGGCGGAGGATGAAACGCAGGGCGTTGTGTGCGCTAATGTTTCCTGTGGACATGAAGGGGATGAAGGTATTTTGGTTCCCAAGTTCACTCTAGGGCCTGTGTCAGAGTCTGTTCCAGTCAGTATCGCGGTTGTAGAAGGGCATTTTGTGGTTAGATGTTCACGGTATACAGCATGTGATGAAAGGGAGATAAGCTGTAATTATAGAACAATACCTTTTATCTGTCTGGATATTGATCTGATTAGAGCTGAAATGATGAGTCAGTTAGATTGTCAGACAAATAATTAATCGTGAAAACTTTTTTTTAAAGCAAAAATAGCTCAAATTGAATTGGTCCCACTTTTCAAATGTTAATGAAAAGAATAATTAAGAAAATAATCAATCACGAAAATAAACATGTGTTGCAGCTGTTAATATGGTCACAACTGCATATTTAACCAGGACATCCTGCGCACAGTCTCACATCAAATAACATTGCAAAGCAAACTTCACCTAGGAAACTACCGTTTACACACACACACTTCTTTTTGGAAACTCCTGTTTCCAAGGTGAAGAATGAACTCTCATGAACTCTCAGTGTGCTATTGTGTAACAGATGTTTGTTACGGCAGCACCACGTTGCTTTTTCACATTTGTGTGAAAGGGCAAGACGGATGGTAAGCCTGTTTGACAGATGGGTCTTGGACCGTCACATGCTCGTGTTTTCTCCATCCCATGATGCCAACTGCGTCATAGGTGTGCGGTAGGGTATTTATAAGGGTTTTGAAGCTTGAGGTTATTATTTTAATCTCAATGCTGTTTGCCTTCCCTCACCCCCGAGCCCTCTCAGAGTCTTTAAACCCCCCACAGATACATCTGTGGGACACACTGGTGGTTTATTCATGTGACCCTTCGACTTGGAACTGTAGAAAACACAACATAGTGTGTGATGCTGTTTCCGTGACGCCCTCAAGCCAATAAAACCAAAAAGAAGTGTGTGTGTGTGTGTTTAGCCGTGTGATAGATTTTGTGATCTGTCCAGGGTGTGCAGTAGCCTTGCCCAATGCATGCTGGGACATGCTCCAGCTCCCCGTGACCCCAAACAAGAGCAGCAGTTCCAGAAGTGGATGGATGTGTATTTATTGTCCTGTTCCTCTTCCAGACTAAAGCAATGTCCCAGCAAAAAAACGATGTTGCTAAATTGATTGATTAAATATGAGCTGGGGAAGTGATGGTTATTTTTCTGCAACCAAGCAGAGATGCCTTTGAGCAAGGCTCTCAACCCTCCAACCACTAACACCAACATTTATGAGCAAGTGCTGAATAACAGCCATGTGTGTTCAGTAAAATGTCTAAATACAGGCTGAGACATACTGTGCTTGTTTTGCATTATAGGGAGAATTGGGACATGAGCATATACATTATGTGCAGGTCAGCAGGTCCAGAGGGGAGGAGGAGGGAAAAGCCCTGAACACACACACACACACACACACACACACTTACACACTCTCTGTCTCTTCAGTCTCATATTGGCCTGAAATGAGGCATTAGATGTGTGTGATGTTTGTGACATGATCGCTCACAGCCACTGAGCTGATGTGCACGTGTGTTCATTTGTGTCTGTTTGCATGGGGAGTGGTTTATCTGTATCTATTCTGCCTCACTGTGTAGATCTGCACATGTGCACAGTTTTGCTCGGTGTGACTGTGTGTGTGTGTGTGTATACGTGCATGTACTGTAAATACATGTGTGTAGGTGTGTGTGTGTGTGCGTGCTAGAGGCAGGGTCCTGGCCTGTTTTTTCCCAGGTGTGTGTTTTTGGCCTTAGGTGAGACACAGCAGATGGTACCTCTTTGCGTGTGTGCGTGTGTGTGTGTGTGTGTGTGTGTGTGTGCATGCCTCTGTAACTGACTGGTTGTCAGTATCTCCCTGGCCAAAGATCTGTGTCCAACAGAACATCAGTTGGAAAGATAGACACAACTGCAGGGCTGTTAAAAGGCCTGGGTCAGGACCCAGAGCAGGGGGTGATGGGAGTTTAAAAGGGGTCGACCAAAGGGCTGCACAGTTCATCATACTTGAAATGAAATGCATTGTAGTTTGCAATTTGCAAGAGGCCACTCGTTGAAGGAAAACTATTCCAGACAACCTACTCAGCAAGAGATGTGTAGGGTGTCCGCCATACTGTACAAGCACAGTGCTAGTTTAAGCGTGTTTGTGTTAATCTGTTTTTAATAAATGAATACTTGGAAATCAGCCTAGACTCTTAACGTTAAACTGAAGCTCCAGAAGTCTTCATTCTTCTGTGTGCTGACTAATTCTAAACCGGTTTAGTCCACTTTTGTTCGCGTTGTTCTTGTAAGGGTAGAGTGTGGATCAGATGGTGTGTCACACGGGTCATGTGTCCACTGACCTGTGGATGACATCACTGTCTCCAAGGATACCCCAAATGACTGAATGATGACTGTCGACCAGCTGGGCATCAATTTTAAACAGTAAATGTACTTTTCTTTTATACAGTAGCCGACTCCAGAGGTGACACCCAAGGTTGCATATTTAACATATCGGTAATTTCTAAATCCTCCGCCGACAACAGAGAGTGTTCTCGCAGACAGCATTGTGCATAGCATGTGGTGGGTACTTCAGGGGGCCTGGGAGATCAGCGTTCGCACAACAGACAGCTTGGATTCTCAGCAGCCTCTGAGGCATTTATCAGCAACATGTGAGAGCCAGTGCTCATGAATTGTTTCATGTTTTTGCCGAGACAGTAAAATGTTACAGATTTGCACCGTTTGAAGATGACTTCACGAGCGAGTGATAGGAATGGTTATTTTTTTATTATTTTTACAGCTGTGTTAATTACAAGGTTTCTTTCACCTGATTGACTTAATCCGTTTTAATATTTAAGTTATTTATGTCATCCAACACACACACACACACACACACACACACACACACACACTAATACCAGGCTCCAAACAAACAAAACAAAATATTATTTCATGGTGCCCCTTAAAATGTCCATCCAGTGTGACTCATATGATTAACAGGAATAGGACGGATACTTTTTTTTTTTCTTCCCACATTATTATTGCAGAATAAAGTTGTTAACAAGATGTAATTGACTTGATAAATAAGGAAAGGATCGTTGTATTTCAGTACGTGTAATTCATCCAGCAGACAAACTAGAAATGATGCATTATTTATGAATGTTAGATCAGCTGATTGGATGCTATCTGCTATCGCACGGTTTAGTACGGCTGCAGGACAGTAACTGTTGATCTTATCTAGTGAAACGTCTGCAGGATGGATTGGCACACATTTTGGTACAAACATTCGTGTTCCCCAGAGGATGAACAGTTTGGTTTTAGAGCCTAATTCTTGTTCTTTCCCAACTCGTACCGTAGAAATGCCAATGCCACATGATATGACACAGTGCATCTGTAACATTGAACATACTGGCATTTTAACCAGTAAGCTGTTTATTTAACCTCTGGTTTGCATTGCCAGTAAATACTCTGCACAAAGAGATGTAACAAGTCTCAACTGTGGATCAAACCAAAACCAGAACCTGGTAAAAAATCAAGTGTATTCCTTTTGTTCCTGAAGTGCAGAAGATCTTTCTTCTCCTGATCACTAAGTCTTTGTCTCTGTCTCCCTTTTCTTTTTAGGTCATCCCTTCATCCCAGGCCTCGCAGATTTACTGGCTGCCTTTATTTAAAAGGATGCCGTATTGATTCCGGCTTTCTGACAAAGCACATTGATTCCAGTGAGGTTTTTGGAAAGGCCTTGATCACCGCTATGTCAACACTGCATCAGGATATTTCAAGTCAAAAAGGACTACAGTAGTAGTTTTTATTTTTTTTGGGACATCCATCTTACATTTTTTGAGTTTCTGCGTACTTTTAAGAATGTATTTTTGATCCGCTTGATTTCCTCATTTTCGTCTCCACAGTATATACACACACACACACACCGTATTCTCTCACCATGTACGGTAGCTCCCGTTCCGTCTCAAAGCTGGATGTCGTTGGGTCCAATGGCAACGGGTCGGTGTCCGGGAGCCCCAGTCGCTCCCCGCGCCTCCCACGCTCCCCGCGCCTCGGACACAGGCGAAACAGCAGCAGCAGCTCCACCGGCGGACTCACCGGCAACTGTAAAACCCTGTCCATGGAGAACATCCAGTCTCTGAACGCCGCCTACGCTACGGGGGGTCCCATGTACTTCTGTGACACCGTCGACGACTCAATCGGCATCGGGAGCCTGGGCAGCGGGCTGAACCCCTCGCTGCCCAAAAGCACCATGACCCTGGGCAGGGCCGGGGCCAGGATCCCCTACGGGGTCAGGGCGGCCATCATGGGGAGCAGCCCTAATATAAACACTGGAGGCGGTGTGATGCCCAGCGATGCCATAGCATTTGGGGGGGAGCTGCAAAACCAGCTTCAACAGGCGGCTACTGTGCCTCATTCCATGAGACAGGTGAGGCACCGCAAGGTTTTCTTCTTTTATTGCCGCAATCTTGAAGCGGGTTGCGACCGAGAAATAGTCCCGCGCGTGATCTAAAATAGTTGAGCTCAAATGAACTTTAGAACAGGCCGATAAGGAAAGCGTGGATGAAATTGATTTAGGGTGTACATAATGTTTGTCTCACCTTCGAGCGAACACTGAAGAAACCTTAAAAGATAAAATCAATTACACTTTAGGCACAATGTTTTGTCACACAATTATCCTCCGGCATGATGCAGAAGTGGAACTTGGTGATTCAAGGCATTTTGCTGTTATACGGGTTCATATTTTCTTCTTAAGTCACGGCTCAGCTAAATAATATAAGAGCTGTGTGGGTATACAGCATGTTGAAATAGACTAAGGTCTGCCCTCCTACTCCCTCTGCACCATTAGTCATAACCTGAGAGCTCTTCTATCCTTCCTTCCTCTCCCATTCCTCCCGCCTCCACCTAATTCTAATTATTAACTTCATCTCTCCTTTAATCTTATTTTCCTCTCCTCATGTCACATTCATGTACTGCGTGTTGCATTGATTGTGAGGATGCTATTAATCCAAAACTTTACTCTCTTATTTGTAATGTTCGATGATTTAACATTTTTTAAACCTTTTCACTCTCAGAACTGAGAGACGCTCTGACCACAAGCGTCAGCTAAATACCTAAAATGAGTTTCTCAAAACCAAAGCAGAGTCTGTTTAGTGTTTAAAAATTCATCCAAGATATTTTTAATTCTTCGGGTCCACTGCTGTTCTGATGTCAGGATGAATTAAACATCTGCATGGCGAGCATTTCTCATGAATACTGTAGCTAGACGTTTGTGCTTTATGAAAATAACTAAATGACGTTTTAACCAATAGTCTCAATGTGCTTCACAAACAATATGTGAGTCTTGAATTCTGTATTTGATTTCTTAGATTTTGCAGCGCCAGCAGTGCCTTGGTTTTGCTGTTCTGGGATCTGCTATCACCAGATCTTCATAGTGACAAGCTGCAAATAGACAAAATGTTTAGAAAGTAATACAGGAACAAAAAAAAAAAAAAGGATGTTGCTGGTGTCTAACATACTTCTACTTTATGTGTTTGTGTGTGTTACCAGGTGAGAGACGGGGCGATGTCAGACCTGCAGACACAGTTAAGAGAAGTGCTGAGAGAGAACGAACTGCTAGGCAGAGAAGTAAGGATACACACACACACACCTCTGAAAACACATCCATTTATGTTATACACAACGAAAAAGTAAGAGCCAATGAATTGAATCAATACCAGTGTAATCAACAAATCAATTCAAATAAACGTATATTAAAGCAGAGTTACAACGTTTGATGTTATTTTCGTTCAGCTGGAGGCGAAAGAGTCCAAGTTGAGCTCCTCTATGAACTCCATTAAGACGTTTTGGAGTCCAGAGCTGAAGAAAGAGAGGGCGCTGAGGAAGGACGAAGCCACAAAGATGGCCGTGTGGAAGGAACAGTACAGAGTGGTGCAGGAGGAAACACAGGTATGAAAGAAGCGTCCGTGTGTGTGTGTGTGTGTGTGTGTGTGTGCAAAAATGAAAGAAATCCGAGTAGCGTTTAGCCTGAGCCCTGTGGATTTTAGTTTGTGCTTTGGGTTAACCATCTGTGATATAGCTTTTGCTGCTCAGTTTTGTCAGGAACGGTAACTGGCACAAAGGGGGAGTGTGTCACGATCATTTTTATGGACTGTTCTGGTGGATTTGTCTCCCGGGCTGCGAGGCGGCCTTGAAGACGGGTAAACGGATGAAGCGGGGGCCACCTGGTTGGGGACTCCCAGCTGTCTGTTGGTTCAGAAGCCATCTGGAGGAGACGGAGACACAGCTAGTCTGGCAGGAGGCTGTAATATTATACAAGACATGATTTTTGCACACACACACACCCCGCTGCCTCACAGTGACTCATTTCACACGCAGTCATCTTCGAAACCAGGGCAGGAAGTGCTAGTTCCTCGCTACATTTCGGTCGTTAGCGCGGAAACTGAAATTATTCGGGGCCTTTGATGTTGCACCCGAGACTCCCAAGATAAATTTAATGTTGGAGGTAATTGTATGTGGGAACGCACTTCAGGTGGTGAAATTACATCACCAGCTATTAAATCACTCTCCAAGACAATCTACTGTGAGTGAACATGTGCAGTTTACCTGTGTGTGTGTGTGTGTGTGTGTGTGTGTGTGTGTGTGTGTGTGTGTGCGCCCATAAATCTCAGAGTCTAAGTGTGTGTCTTGTGTGCGCGCACTTATTCAAAGGGATGCCTAGTCGGGGAGAACAAAGGAACAGATGATACGTGGCCACTAGAAACATCCTCAGTTGCCTTCACACACACACACACACACACACCTGTTTGAGTATGTGTGCCTGTGTGCTGTTATGTCGAGACATGTAAGAATATTTTCTGATCTCTTATGTTGGCAAAGATGTGCTCTTTCTCTCTCTTTCTCTCTTAATCCCTCCCACTTTCATTCCCCTTCTCTCCCCCAGACTAATCACACCCTTTAACCCAAGGCATACTTTTCATTTCCTCATCTCATTATCTCACCACTTTCTCTTCAGTCTCTCGTCTCTGGCCTTTCTCTGTCCCCTTGCTCCTTTCTCTCTCTCCCTCTCTCTCCCTCTCTCTCCTCTTACTCATTCCCTTCTTCTATTTATGTCGCCACATGGTGAGTCAGCTCTCGCTTCCCTCCCTCCCTCCCCCCTGCCTCCCCTCCTCTCTCTGTCTTCGCCATCATCTCCATGTTAGAAATCGAATTAAGTTACCTCCCAGTAATTTTGGGATATGTGCTCATCCACACACACAACACACACACACACACACATGCATGCACCACTGGGTCACGCCCCTGCTGAGGAATGCACATCTCGTTTCCAGCCTCCGTCCTTCCTTCCTCCTTTCCTCCACGCTTCCTCACTTGTTCACCTACTTCTTCACGCCTCGTCCCACTGACTTCACCTCGCTTTGCGCCCGCCTCGTTCTTTATCTCCTCCTGTCCTTCTGTCTTCACTCGCTCTGTTTAACTCCTTTAATCTCATATTTTGTGTCACCATAGATTTAAATCCAGAATAACCGACATTCCAAATCTCATGTTTGCACTTGTTAGGCAGCTCCAATATATTATGGTTTAATAATCCAGTTTGTTTTAGTTTGGTGTGATTATTCAAAAATATATGAAAAAAAGAAATCAACCACAATTACATCATATGATCATTTATTAATTTAAGTAATTTATTAAACAATAATGGCAAACATTTGCTGGTTCCAGGACAAAGAAGTCGCTGGATTTGCTGCTTTTTTGTCTCTTATGTGGTTTTAAGTAAAATACTTTTCAACCGTGGATACTGCAGAAAAATGGGGGACAAACAATGAGATGAGATCTAAATGAGATCTAGATGAGATGGGAGGCTCTTTCTGCTTCTTCCCCACTGAGCTCTAAATTATCAATCTGTCCCTCGACACCGCCGGTTTGCTTTCTCTTGTCTCGCTGCCCACATCCACTCGTTTCCTCTTACCACAGCGTCTACTCGTTGTCACCACACTCTCCATCTCTTTCTCGCCGGCTTCTCTTCCTCTCCGTCTCATCACCACTTCACTCCCACTTTCCGACTCCCCTCTCTATCACCCCCCCCCCCCCCCACCCCCCCCCCCCCCCACCTCGGATCGCTCGCCTGCCCCCCCCCCCCCC